TTGCCCTACCATCTTTCCCTTTAATCAAATGCTAGATGTAGATTAAAGCTATGAATTATCTAAATAGTTGTTTTGCATTTAGGAAGTGCCAGCTCTTTCTGAATTCTCTTTTAAAAGAAAATGCATGTGAAGTAGGAGTTTTTAGAGTAAGAAAGATGCTCATTGTAGCATAATGCAGGGTAGAAAAGGAGTCAACTGATAAATGAGAGAAAATAAGATGTAAATGAGCTTTTGGGTTACAGTTTTAGAAACTTAACTGTCTTGCAGTGGGACAACCCATTTAGTTTCCTAATTTTTCCCTACTTTCATTTAGTCAATAGAAATTCAAATTAACGAATATGAATAGATTTAAACATACAAAATAATGATTTAGCTTCTTACTAATGAACTGTGTCATAGTTTAAGGGTCTTTGGCTTTTTTCCCCTCCATTTCCTGAATCTGAACAGAATTTATTCTCCCCAGAGTATGGAGTCAGATAAAGTAATTCACCACAATTCCTTAAAAACCAGTACACTTGAGGAAATTCACGCTAGACTAAGTTTTATAGTATCTATATTAATAGAAGGTCATAATGTAACTTAGTTTCCTATCTCTACTTTCATTAATCTCCCTACAGGATTTGATCAGAATGATAATAATTAGTTAACTTACATGATCGTGTTGTTTTAAGAGCCAAGAATTCAGTGGTTTAGTGAACATTCACATTTGGAATGTTTTCTGGAGAATGACCAGAATTTGGATGAAAGGGAACTAACCGGATTCAAAAAGATGTCAGAAAGCAAGTGGTTAATTAGCATTTTCAGTTTGCTGGACTTAAGGGAGAATGTCAGTATTGTGGGAAGGGTAAGTGTTGAAAAGTTAACTCAAAACACTGCATTTTATTTTTGCATGCTCACACCCCATTTTATAAAAAAAAAATAAAATCATTTAGCACTTCCTGAAAGCTTTTCCTTACCTTGATATCTTCAATATTAGGATGTGGTGGTGATTTCATCTGCACAATAGTGTAAAGAATATCATGGATGTGGTTGTTTAAATACAGCACAGGATTAGCTATCACGGTTTTTGTGGATGCTATGCTTGCAGAAAGCAAAGGTAGTGTTGTGGGTAATGGAAGTGGAGACTGGAGTTGTTTTACAGTAGTTTCCTGTTTAAAAGAAAAGATTGTATTTAAAATTATTGCTTTGAGAAAAAAAGGTTTTTAAAAAATTGATAATTTTACACCTTAAATGTTTTTTTTTTTTTTCCAGGGTTATTTATCCTCTTCTACAGCTGTCTCCTCAGTACAGAAAAGATTTTACTGTGTCTAATGTCAAAAGTAAGTTCTTATTTACTATAATAACATGATAGTCAAGTTTGCTGGAACACTTTCTGATTTACTGCAGGAAGAGTATTTTTATGTGGTTCATTAGGAAGTGTTGGGTTTGTCTATTAAGAAACATTAACTAAAAATGCACTTTCAGTAGCATGAGTTGACATAATACTCACTGGTCTGAGTTTAACAACAAAAGTTTCAAGTGGAAATGAATAGATTTTTTAAATTATTCTTAAAAATACCTGCTAAGCCTAGTACCACTAAAACAGTTGTCTACTGCTCCTATTTGAAATGTGAGACATCTAGGACTAGAGCAAGTTAAATGACTTGCCCAGTATCAAATTATCTGCTGTAGCTCAGGTTAGTCATTAATATTTCCTGGGGAAAAAAATCTCCTTTTGTATGAAATAAATGTAGAAAATGCCATAATATAGTAAAAGGGAGCATTACCCTGCCTGACTTATTACTTGTTGAGCCTTGCAGCGAAGATCCCTTGCATGATTTGCATGTAGGGAATGAGATCTTGTCATATTTCAGTAATGGTGCATTTAATGTATTATAGAGATGCTCAGAATACTGTGATCAAAATTATAATTTCATTGGAAAACACATATATAATGCTGCAACTGTAATATAAACAGCAACATTTATATTCCAGTTATATGTAGCCTAATCCTCAATGTCCTGTAACAGATTCTTAAGAACCAAATAATCAGGATGTGAAAAAGCAGCACATGTAAATACCAAGTTCTTTCTCCAAGAATGTTTAAATGATCTTGACCATTAGACTGGCAAAACATAAGAAGCATCTATCTAGGCACAAACTTAGGCATTTGACAAAACTGACAGTCCTGAACTGTTCATGCTTGTGAATAGAAATTAGTTCAATTTGTTTTACCTGCTGTGACTCTTGCAGCAAGAACTTCAGTTCCATTCTTACAGAGGCTAAACCACCACCTTGTGCCCCATGAAGACTACAATAACTTAGAAAAACTCTTAGAAGAGCTTGGTTCTTCTGCAGCCACCACTTTCGTCTTTCAGCATGTTCTCGTTTTGCTTGTAATCTACGTCTTTCTATCTGGTGCCGTTCATATGAACCAATATCTGGCTTATCCGTAATATCATCATGATCAAGTAGATCCCCATTTACTTTGGTGTATGTTTTACAATAGTCTTTGCCCCCTGTGTCATGGTTGCATATTGCATGCATAGCAGCAATCTCTTTTTCAAGCCAGTTGTACAGCTGAAATCTGAGCTTTCCTCCATCTACTTCATAGCCTGTAGCCAAAGTCCTCAGTTCAGTCATAAGGATCTTTAAACAGGCTCTGAACTTCAGTTGTTCAGCAATAACATCAACCTCAGTGTCTCCTGCATCAGAAGTCTCCCCATGTGGTGTTTGTGAGATGGTGTCTGAAGTTCTCTCATCATCTTCTCCATTCTTAGAATCAGATTTTGAGTTTTTCATCATTATACCAACATCCTTGTCCTCTTCATCTGACCCATTTTTGTCTTCACCCCAATCAAGAGTAAGGGGCTCGTCATCAAATGTTACTGCTGGTTGGCTCCAGTCAAATTGTGCTGAAGATTCAACAGTGTTCTCCAAAGCAAAGGAAGTTGAAATTGGCTTTGACCAGTCTATATCACTACTTCCAGCACCATCCGTTAGGGCTTTAGAATCTGAAACACCAACCTGTATTGGAGGACTAGATGAATCTTTCTCTGCAGCTACAGCAGACTTTCTTCTTACTTTTGGAATTTTGGAGAGGACCTCGAGAGCTAGTACAGGGCAGCCTACTTTAAAATGAGCATTTGCAGTAGTGAAGAATAATTTTCTTTCTATAAGATTAATTTTATCAACAAAGCTTTTCTCAGTTTTTAGACCTAAGGTGACCAGAGTCCCTTCTGGTGAGCTGAAGTATCTTCGGATGAGCAAAGGGTGAGTCCGAAGATAATTGTAGAAACTGAATACCACAGGATTGCACGACTTGACGATAACTAAGGAATTAAACAGATATGAAATATGTTGAAAATGGCTTTTAAAATGGTATTATTCTATTTTGTAGTATTTCCTGCATTACAGAGATTTGTCAAAAAACAAAGAGAGTTTTGGGTGTAGTTGCCAAAACAAAATGAAGAAAATTATTTATTCCCCACAAAAAGATTAAAGGTATGAGCTGGATGAGATACTAAACTCTCTCATTTGCCTCACTCTTATATTCCACTCAGGTAAGCCTAAAAAAGCTGAGATGATCAGCCAGGTAGAGATTTCCCCAAGGGACAGAATGTGCCACAGAAACCTATTTAACCACCTGCCACTTAACAGTCATCTCAAAAGAGATAGGATAAGAGATCCTGTTAGAACACTGCTAATCCCTAGAAGCAAGAATGACAATTTAAGTCCACTGGAATAAAGACTAGCCAGCATTCAGTGGTAAGGAAGCATTGTAGGGAAGTACCAAACAACAAAGGCCCTCCTGAGCTCATCTGACAGCAGAACTAAGTGCAGTATTGGGGTTTGAAGACAAGTCCTTGGAAGAAATTGGAAAAAGATTTTTTTTTTTTTTTTTTTAAGAAGTAGATGAAAGTGAGTGGGCCAGTACATAAGCCAATTAATGATTTCAGCATAATGGCATCTCAGGAGAAGGGACTGTGTACATACACAGAAAGTATTTCTCCTTCTCCACTTTGCCTTAATAAGTCTGTTCTATCAGACTAATGTTTTTCCCTTACCTGGGTTTTCATCATCATCTTTAGGTGTTTGTTCCAATAATGTGTCCAGTGCTCTAGTGTAATCTTTCATTATCCAGTATGCAATGCTTCTCAGAAATGGATCAGAATGCAATTTAGTACAGCTGAACCCTGCTCCATCCTTATGGCAACCCAAAATCTTTTCATAAAGAATGGAGGTGTATGTGACAGAGGTTTCAAACTCCGATTCATATAAACGAGCAATAACCATAGCCAACTGGATGTCTTCCATTTTCTCAAGGCACACCTACAATAAGAAGTGGGGAAAAGGTGGCTTTATGAGGGAAAGGTAGTTCTTTAAAATAAAAATGAAATAAATAGCAATATATGTTTACAGAACAGATAATTTTTGTTCTCATCGTATCTGTTTTTTAAAGTATATATTTATCTTGGGGTCAGAAATGTGCTAAGTGATACATATCTAAGTAACATTTTCTTTCATGTTTGGAAAGAGGTGTACTTTCTTCTATTTCAGGAATTACAATATGCATAGCAGTACATCAGCATGTCAAAAATTAATATGGCAGAAGTAAAGATAAAGATGTTTATTTTTATTCTACCTAGTAGAATAAACAAAACTCCCAACTTTAATGTTAATACATCACTTGTAAGATACTCTTCACACTGTCTCATCTGCAAAATTTAATCTCTGAGGGAAATTCTTTATGTTCTCAGGTGAAGACAAACATACTGCATAATAGGCAGGATAACTAAAGCTTCTCTAATTCCCATTCTCTCCTGAGAGGAACTGCTTAGGTTATGATCCTGCTTACAGCTCTCACCTCCCTTGTGGCAGGCGACATCACAGCTCCACTAAAAAGGATCCTAGGGCTGTTACAGAACTCTTCTTTTTTTTACTTAATATTGTAACAATAGGTCATGCAGAATAGCTAGAGGCTGAACAGAGTGCTACAACTTAACTGTGCTGATCAAACAAAGTTTTGCCAGAAGGGTCATGACTGGTATTCCCAAGGGCGGTTCCACTGAGGACTGATGTATCAGAACAATTATTCTGGCCTTCAGATCAGCTTCCAAGCTGCTTTTCACAGTAGTGTGGAGAGAAATGGTATGTCTGCAGGGCACAAGGGGGTCATGTGTGGACATACCACACCATTTGTGCAAACATCAGCAGAGAACAGATGGTAAGGATACAGTTACATAGGTCAAATTAGAAACTGAAACTTAATTTCTCAAAAGTGGATACCTCTATAGCATCTTTCAGTGAACCTGCTAGCAAGAAAAATGCAGCTGATTGTTCAAAGCGCTGTTTTCCCAACAAAGCAAAAGCGTTTTTTAAAGCAGCTTTGCGCCATCTATCTTCACTGAAGTTGTGGCTGAAAAAGGCAGTCATCTTTTCATCGTGCTGGGACCTGCATAAAGAAATGCAATGTATACAACTAATTATTACATAACCTTAGCATACAATCACTTGAACAACGCCACTTTAAACTCTAATCTTGAATGAGTTCTGTTTTGCATTCCTGGTTCAATTAAGAAAACTTAAAGCTAGCAGAACTCACCTAAACAGACCCCACACCACTGCCTTTTTCTTCATAGCAAGGTAAAAAAGTGCAGCATCTAAGGCATCATTGTTCCTCTGGAAAGAAGCTTTTGCAACCTGTAGTAAACAAAACCTACTATTATTACTGAAAAAATAAAGGCTGCATTTAGCACAATATCATATGCTCTCTGTCAGGGAGGATGGTCTAGGTGACTATTATTTCTACAAAGCAACAGTAATTTATGTCAGAATGTTTTATTCATATGTGACAGCTCTCATTACACGGTAAATGTTCTTAAGAGTCAGAAAAACAGCACTGCTGCAGGTATTAACCCCTCTCAACCACAGCAGGACATGACAAATGTGCAAATAATCTTTTCTTTAAAAGCGTTACAGTAGGTGGTACTATTAGGTGAAATTTCTCTTGCAGTCCATTATTTACATCAGCTAATACAAGCTTTTCTTTAATGAACACTGTTTGGTTTTTGTATAGGACTCAGAGATGTAATTGTATTTGATTTGGAGTACTAGGATAATTAAGTTTTTCTCTTGGATTCTTTGAGTATCCTGTAACTTTTTTAATGTATTTTTACAACAGATGACTTGGAAATTTAGTAGACTAGTAAGTACTTGTGTTCCACAGACATTTCAGGGATGCATTATTTGTTGTACTTAGAAGTAAAAGCTAGTAATTATTCAAATTCATTAAACTTCAAGATACAAGAAAGGTGAATGAAGTTCTTATTAAAGCTGCATTTAAATCTCATTGGTAGCTATGGGAAACAGTTTTAGATATTATCTCAAAAATATATTGCATTTTATCTGCTATTAGACCTCCCATAAGAAAACTCTGCATGCAAATGAGATTTAGTGTTTATTTTGGTTTTACATAATATATGTGCATATTTCTATAAAACTGTAATTTTGTGACTCTTCAGAAGAGTAAAACCTGCATTTATTTGCAGTTCAGATATTTTATGTTCTATACTACTCCATTATAAATAATACAAAATTTGCAAAAAGACTCTTTATATAGTTTTTATAGACTAATATTTTTAGATATATTTATTTCTTAAATGAAACCCACTACTGAACACAAAGCATAATTCCATGTTTAATCTACAGATATATACTGTCTCATATCTGAAAACAAGATTCTTCTTAAAATAGAGTACTTAATATGATCTTTAAC